TTTTTTTAGGGAAAAATACATTTCCCTAAAACTGTAGCCTGCCCTTTCTGCTCCCTGCAAGAACCAGGACTGAGTGTTAAAGGAAGCAAATTTAATTTCTGGCTGAGCACTGAGTGATTGGGGTAAATAGGTAAATCATTGAGTGAGCAGTGCAGTAACTCACAATACATTCTTGTGAAATATTTGTGAAATAATAGAGATGACAATGAGCTCTGCAAGGTGCCTTGGCTGCTGGGGATGTGCCTGTGGAGGTTGTGCTGCAGGGACAGCCCTGGGCTCGTGCTTGGCTTCCTCAGCTCAGCTCAGGCCCAGCTCAGGCCCAGCTCAGCCCCAGCTCAGGCCCAGCTCAGGCCCAGCTCAGGCCCAGCTCAGCCCCAGCTCAGGCCCAGCTCAGCCCCAGCTCAGCCCCAGCTCAGCCCCAGCTCAGCCCCAGCTCAGGCCCAGCTCAGCCCCAGCTCAGCCCCAGCTCAGCCCCAGCTCAGCCCCAGCTCGCCTGCCCCAATGCGCGCGTTACAAACCCAGCGCTGTAAGCAGCTCAGGCACAGCCCCTCAAACACTTTCAGATGTGTACAAACAACAGTAATGAACAAGGGCACATGCTGAAATGGTTCTTTCCTCCTCCTGCGTGGTCATCTGGAAGTCCTTAGAGCAGGGTCCGTGAGCACGCAGGGTCAGTTTTCAAAGCGGCGTGCGGGGATTTCGCCGCGCGCCTCCCATTGCCGTTAATGGGAGTCAAACGGGTAAATCCCCACGCTCCGCTTTGAAAATTTACTACTAAGCCTCTTGACTTCTCACTACATACTTTGATTGTAACAGTAATCCATGGTTAACATAATTTTCCCGACAATAATGTCAAACATACTTTTGAAGTTGGTGAATTATAGAAATAGTTACCTCTTCCATAATTCTTTAAAGATGGCCATCAGATGGATTTCACCGTGGCTTCGTGCAGTTGAAATTATTCTTTAACTCAGAAAAGAATATGTTTGTTCTGTTGTGGTGCCCAATTGTTTGTCTGCTCACAGTCTGAGTGTTGAGCAGCTTTAAGGTTCACCATCCTGTGAATAATATCAGGTTCTAGATCTGCACACATTGTGCTAGGCTGGCCTCCTAAGGGAACTTTGGAGATAGAAGCTGAAATTAGGCTCAGAGAATGTATACCAGTCTTCCTTGGGGAAAAAAATCCAGGCCAGTGTGAGTAAGGAGCAAGTAAAGCAGTCATAAAAAAAAAATCTAAGAAGAATTAATCTCCTAATTACAGATCTACCTGTGTCTTTATTAAAGTGCTGATACAGAGAGTGGATGGTCCATAAAGCACCATAAAGTACACAAATTCATTATTTGTGTACTGTGTGGACAGTACTCAAATAATGAATGAATCCAGCTCCAATCAGTTGGTGGTGTGGAGTAACTGTCAGTCTGGCTAAACTCCTGCTTTATAGCCCTTTTTTAGCTTAATTTTATTATATTTATGCATATGAGAATCTCAGAAAGAACTAACAGGAAAAAAACGAGCAGGGAGTAGTTTTGGGTAAAAGAGGATATTTTAATCTGCGTGCCATGCTCCTGTGGGAGTTTACAAGCTGAAAACTGCATTAAAACCAGAACTTTGTTCAGTAACGTGCAGCCACAAGAAAAATTACATGGAGCATATCTCCAGCCTACAAACAGTTTATTGTTAACATGGCTGTGAGTGTTCTGCCCAAAATGAAATCCTGCCCTTTGCTTTGTTGTCACACTGGAGCAGAGGTAGAGCCAGAGGCACAGAGCACCAGCTCTGACACAAACCCACAGAGCGCGTGCTGCATGTGAGCTCCAGAACTGTGGGACACCAAACCACCCCTGACAGAGCTGAGATCACATCAGTAACAGGGAAAAAAGGTGAATGTGGTGAACTTGGAGTGGTTCCATGGAGACCTGAACCAGAACCATCGCGTTCTGCTGGTGATGCCATGGAACAAAGGCGTGAAGGAAATAATTCAAATTGTGCAGCTGAATTTTCCAGCACAAGGACTCCTGAAGTTTGTTGAGAAACTTGTGATTGCCTCAGGTCTCTACACCACCTAGATGTAACTGAGGAACCAGAGAAAAAGCATCAAAATCAGGTGTTAGGGTGGGGTTCTTATGAAAATAAGGTGTATATATCATTTTTATCCTGTGTACCTGTTCACCCCAGACATCACTGGAGACTGGAGGGGTTAGTAAAGGGTACATTGACCTGTTCCTACTGCATTTTAGAAACTCATTTGACATTTTTAATGTTAATTATATTAAATGATAATTCTGGGGGTGGAGAAAGCAAGTTCCCTGGGTGTCTGCAGGCATGTGCACGGCAGGCAGCACCAAACAAACAGGCTTTGTGGTGCTCAAAGGCCTTTGTTTGCTCTTAATTTGGACAAACATGCAGCCCTTAGAGAAGAGCACATTGGCAATTTCATATATAACTCTCAATTAAATTGAATTGTGCAAAGCTTATTTCTATAAATGAGAAAATTAAAACCTTTTGGTTCAAGGAGTACACAAAACTAAGTAAAACTAATGATTTATTGTTCCCAAATTAAAGCCATAAGTGCACACACTACAATTGAACTGCAGTGGTTCTTTGTTCCAACACTTTTATGCTGCTGAAAGATGATAATTTATAATCCTTGAAGGAAGATTTGTCTTAGCTTTAGGTATTTATTGTTTAATTAGCCCATCCATGAACAAACCCACTGTGTGTTAATTCCAATATTCCTCCAATGAGTATTTCTCTAGGTCTTGCTCACGTGCCAGGAATGTCTGTGCAAATTATTTGAGATTAATACAAATTGTTTGTTTTCTCTACTTGTCAGTAAATATCAAGGAGAAGTTTCTAAACAGTGAGGGGGGGTTTTCATGCTTACTCATGGAGCTGTGTGAATCAGGTCTGGAATTGCAGAGGAATATCAGCTCTGCTGGATTTCAGCCTTTGCTTTGGCTCCTGGGGACACCTGTGTCTCCCAGTCCCTTCTGTGCAGTTTTCCTGGCACTAACAATTATCACAAATAACTGCATTTGCAATGTGCTTTTTCCAGATACAGCCCTCCCTCAATCTAAAGGTAACATCAGTCCTGCCAGTGCAGAGAAGGGAGCCTTGAAGCAGGACAGGGAGTGAAGGTGCCATTATTCCTTTTGAGCAGCTCAAAGATCCTTTTTGCCAAATATTGATGGCAAAGCTGATTTTTGCTATAGGTATCAGTTCAGTTTTTCAGAAGTGTCCTTGAATGCTCGTTTTTGGATTCATTTAATAAGCAAACTGTAGGAACTCATCTCCTATCATACTGTCAGACAGAAGTTGTATGTTTGAATTCTCGCCTTAGATTTTTAGTAAGCACTTTTTTTTTTTTTGTACTTTTTTCACTTTCTGCATTTCTAGGTTAAACAAACTCAGTTGCAGATATTTGATGTGTTTGTTCCAGATGTTGATGTGAGAACAAGTTAAAATTTAGCATAGCTCAGACACAAGGCATTGAATTGATTATTTTAGGAAGGTACAAACCACCTGCAATTGCAGTAAAATATCTCTGTGCAGCCAAGGCTTTCTTGCTCCTGCTCTGTGTCTGCTCCATTTGGGACTTTTCCCAATGAAAGAGAAATCACAGGAGAACCAGTAAAAAACACTTGCTACAAAGCTTTGCAAGAATTGGAATTTTATTATTTCTTATCCTGCATGGTTGGGAAATTCTTCAGAAATTTAAAATATTCTGTGTTGCAGCATCAGAATAACCTCACTGATGAGTGAGAATCTGTTGTAATTTCCAGTGTGAATTCAGATTTTCAAGGAATTAAGCTGGAAGATAAAAGATTACTCAAATTCCTGGAAATGTCCTTCCAGGGTTAAATTACTCTCATCTTGGAACTTGATGTGGATGTGAGAGGTGTGTGCCCAGAAAAGGGGGAAAAGAGGAAAAGGGGCTTTGCATTTTTGCACTGTGTTTGTTCCTACAAACCCAAGGGCATTTTTAGCTTGGAAAGATTGCCCATATGAACATGTGTAAGAAGCAGCCCAGGGATGGCAGATGTCCAGGCAGGATCACTTGTCTGATAAGGTCACCTCTCCCAGCACTCTGCACATCCCCACTGGGAATGGTGGGATTGGGATCCCCCGTCCCAACCAGCCCCTCCAAACTGCTTCTGTGCTAGGTGTGGCACAGAAATGCTGCTTTATTCAACAGCCAAATAAACGACTGAGGGCTGACCTCAGCTGAGCCTTTATCACTGCTGCCCTGCTGGTGAACTCCCAGGCTGAGCTGCTCCATGGAGTTCAGCATTTCATCACTCCTGGCTGCAAAGAGTTAATGCTGCTCTCAGAAGCTGCGTGGAAACACAAGACCTGTGACTCCTCAGGGAAAGGCTTCCAGGGCAGCACCAAAACGAATCATTTGTTCAGCTTTTCTGTTGTTTTTTCAAATTTCTTTCTCACTGTAAAGCCATCTTGAATCTCCAGTAAAATGTAAAAGTATTCCCCAAGGGAGAAATGCAGCGAGCAGGCAGGGGGGATGCTGCTCCCTAGGCTGTGGTTTTGCAGCTTCCCTAATCTTGACAGCTCTGGTAGTTGCCCCTGGGATAGAAAGAACAAAAAAAAAAAAAAATTCAGATCAGTCCATAAAGTTCCTGTTGGTTTGAAAGCAAAACCATCTGCTGGAGCCATGCAGTTTGTAAGGGAGTTCAGTAACAGGAAAGCCTGCAGTTGATCAGCTGTGCTCCCTGAAACAGGCAGGAGGATTCAGGGAGCCAGGAGATGTGGGGAGCATGAGGACAGCAGCAAAATGGGTCAAAATAAGGAGTTTGTGCTTTGGTTTCAAGTACAAACTTCAAGGAAGAGAAGCGGGTGCTGTGATTTCATATTCAGAGTGTACTGTGAATCATCAGGAAAACATACATTGCTGTGCCATTAACTCATTTTAAAAGCTTTTTTTTTTTTTTTTAATAAAGCATTCAACAGTAAGTCTGATTTGTGTTCTGTGGGTTTTTTCCAGTGGTGCCTCCAGGGAGCCCTGGGCCCATCACCCGGCACGAGTCCTACGACAGCCTGGCCTCCGACCACAGCGGGCAGGAGGATGAGGAGTGGCTGTCCCAGGTAGGCTCTGGGGCCTTCCAGCTCAGCAGAACAGCACTGGGAGACTCTGGCAGCAAAATTCCCAACTTTCCTCCGAGTGGGAAGTCACCTTCAGCAGCCAGGGTGTTGCTGTGTGTAAAACTGAGTCCACTGTGGCTGTGGGTATGGATCTGATGGTGCCAAAGCAGACAAAGCCCCAGCGTTCCTGACACACTGACAGCCCTGGGGAGCTCAGCAGGAAGTGGGGAGTTTCAGCTGGCAATACAAGTGATCTGCCTCCCTTTGTCTGCTGGCATGCTCATTTGGGGCAGGGATGGAGGAAGCTGGCAGGATGGTGGTGCCTTTTGGGTGGTGACCTTCCTTTGACCACAAAAATGGGCCAGGAGCTGGTTTACTTCCTTCCTTCCCTGGTTATCATTTCCTACTGAGAATTCCTGTGACTTCTGGCCAGATATAAATATTCTATTGCTTTAAAACTATCATGCTTGGTGGAGGATTTTTATATCTTTAGGTCTAATCTTTGTCTTGTTATCCAATCTTGCTTTGTCTCAGTCAATGAAGCTTCTCTGTAAGAACTCAGTAAATACTTGACCATTTGGCTCAGAACCTCAGTGTAAGAATGTAGGTCATGAATAATACACTGAGAATTAGTTCCTGTTAGAAATGAAAGGTTAGAGTTAAATAAATAAATAAAATTTACAAATGCTCTGGATTTGCCAAAGCAATTACAAGGTACCTGATCCATGGAATTCACCCTGACAAATTAGGTGGGTTTCCTCTGGTTTAAGAACAATGTTGTTATGGGAGTGATGCATTAAATGTGTTGCTGGGGTGTATGGCATAAATATGAAATATTTATGGATGGGATTTGCTTCTCCCACTGGTGAATAAATCATACACAGCTTTTTCCTGAAATGAGAGGTTAGGTTTCCACATGGACCTGTCCAGGAGGAGCATTCACTGGGGAATCCAGTCATGGGAATTCATTTACCTGTCTGAGGTTTCAGATGTGGCTGCACATTGAGGTGTCTCATTTGTTTGTGCTGTGTGTGATTTCTCAGAGCACAAAGATGATGAAACTTCTCAATCAGGGCAGTCAACAGGAATTTTATCTCTGAGCTCTTTGGGAGCAGATTTCACCTGTAGTTTTCCACCTCTCCAGGACTGTTTGGAGGTATTTCCTTATTTTATTGTTCTGGTGAAACCTTAGGGAAAAAGAGATTATGGCAAACCTACATTATGGCTGTTTGTTTATTACTAATTCTTGGAAGATACAAGATGTCAACAGAACCTTAGGCTGCTCGAACTTCACCACATCCATCCCTCTAGAAGAGTGAATAAATTTATAAAAGGAAATAAAAATCCCAATTGATATCACAGAACAGGGATAATTCTGAGAATGCTCCTGGAATGTTTAATTCCTGCTGAGAGCAGGAGTGATGAGAGCCCTTGGAGCACAGCAGCGTTGGCTGTCCCCGAGCCAGCCACTTCAGATTAAGCCTAAAGTGCAAGGATGTTTTTCAAAATTAAAGTGTTGTTATCAACAGCAACAGCAAGCAGTGAAACCACACCGCCCTTCACTTCAACTTTTCAATTAGAACAGTGGGTAATGTGTGCTGTCAGTGGGAAGTAGATACAATATGTTTGTCCTGCACACAACAGGAGAGTGAATAGGAACATCTGGCCATAGCCTCAGTAAAATTGCAGAGGCATCTGTTTACCTCTCGGCTCTGTGACACTGATGGTTTCAAGCTTAAAATACACAGATTACTTTATCTGTGGCCTAATTTACACTGCTACATAAAAGCTACTTGCCTCAGAAAGGGCTGCAGCCAAGCTGAGTTAGGCTGAGCTAAATGCAAAGATGGAAATAGAGCTGCATGGGCTGTGGTTGTTGGCTGACATTAGCAGAGAACTGACATCAGCCAGGGTTTCAAATTGCTCCTTGAAGATGGAGAATCACTGCTGGTATGCATCTGTGTACCTGTACAAAAATCTGTTCTCATGAATTCCCTGCTAATTTGCATTTCTGCTGTGAAGCTGATTGTTGTTTTAGCAGAAACTGATAGGTACTTTATAGTCTATTTTCTGTTTTAGAAGTATGAGTTCACCAGAGCTTAATATTTTCATTTTGTTTTTCTTTTTTCTAATCTTTAAAAGCTCTTTTTCATTTTTAATCTTGTATTGCATGATCTTTTCAGCCTTAATGATTCTCTTCTATTGATTACAGAAGTTGTATGCTTTGTTTACCCTTTTATTTACAGTTTTCCTGATCACAAACACCCTACTTCTGTTGAATTGTCAGAATTCTGGTTAAATGCATGTGTTTGTGTGTGGCACATCCATGGCTGTGTTCCTATGCTGAGCATGACCTGGGCTCGTCCCAGCACTCTTCCCATGGCTCTGGGTTATGGATCTTGTGCTTCCCACAAGATGCTCTGTGCCAGCCTCTCCTCACATGTGCCAGCAGGAATTAGGAGCTGTGATTTACCATCCAGCTCTCACTGGATCCATGGGAAGCAATTTAAGCTGAGAACTTTGACAAAGCAGCTGTAACAAAGCTGGAAGGAGCTCTCTGGAAGTACTTCCCTCCCTGCTTGGGATGGGGATGTCTGGGGATGTGGGCCCTTGGTTCCTCTCTCTGCTCCATGCAGATTCATGTGTTCCCTCTCAGTCATGGCATTTGAGTTTTGGGGTGTATTTCATCATGGCAAGGGAAGGAAAGAACAGGATCAGGTGAAGTGGTGGCCAGGATGAAGCTTTGATCTTTAGAACAATTTAAGAACTGGAGTTCAGTGTCCTGAGGCTGATGGTTCATGAGCTTTCAAGTCTCTGCAAGAAGCTCTTGGCTTTCGCTGTAGCATCATTCTCCAGCAAAGACATCCCCAATTTTGCTTTGTTAAACATTCCTCCAAACACCCTGGCTCAGAGCACCCTTCTCACTTGAGAGCAGCAGGATTCCAGGAGTCCAGCACACCAAAGGAACCCTGGAGCTGTGATGTTTTCTGAAAAATACCTTTGCCAGGGTTTTTCTTCTGAGAAGCTGTGAGGCCTCAGGAACAAACTGTAACCAATGGTTATCTGCTGCTGTGGAATGCAACAGGTGCATCTGGGATTGGTCTCATGTGGTTGTTTCTAATTAATGGCCAATCACAGTCCAGCTGTCTCAGACTCTGGTCAGTCACAAGATTTTATTATCATTCTTTTCTTTGCCTTTCCTTGCTGGCCTTCTGATGAAATCCTTTCTTCTTTTAGTGTAGTTTTAAAATATCATTTTAATATAATATACATAATAAAATAATAAAACAGCCTTCTGAAGCATGGAGTCAGATCCTCATCTCTTCCCTCCTCCTGGGACCCCTGTGGACGCCACCACAGAACCCCTCATTATCTGGAGCTGCAGCTCTGTGTTAATCCCTGCCCATGTCCCCTCCCACAGGTGGAAATTGTGACTCACACGGGGCCTCACCGACGCCTGTGGATGGGCCCTCAGTTCCAGTTCAAAACCATCCACCCCTCGGGCCAAACCACCGTCATCTCCTCCAGCTCCTCCGTGCTGCAGTCCCATGGGCCCAGCGACACCCCCCAGCCTCTCCTGGACTTTGACACGGATGATCTCGATCTCAACAGCCTCAGGTAACAATAAAACCAATTCCCAGTGTCTGACACTTGCTGTGTGTAGGATGTGTCACAGTTTTTATCAGGCTTGTCCAGAGGAACATCTTGGAAGAGCGCGTGATGCACCAGTGAGGAAAACCCATCCAGGCCGAGCAGCTCCGATTCCTTTTCCTGTCCCTTCTTGGGCTCATGGCAGGCAAAGACAGCACAAAGTCTGCTGGCCTTGCTCAGTGTCCTCTTGCCTTTCACAGCCTCTGCATTGCTTAATAAATTCATTTTCTCAGACGTGAGTGGGAGCTTTGTGCCATGAATTTAGACAGCGGTCAGTGTGTTGGAACAGTAAGTGAACTTTTGGAATGTTTTCCTCCTCCCTGTTTTTATTTTTTCCCACTCCTTTTTTTCCTTCCTTGTAATTCTTTTTCATGTATTTAATTCATCTGGTTTTGGACATTAGCTGATTTGGAAATGGGGACAGGGGGTGGGCAAAGGGAAGGGAAGGAAGGAGAGTGAAGGCAACTGTGGGTTTACATTTACTGGTGATTTGTAGAAGAGATTTATGCTCCAAGTGTTTGTGTCCTGCCCAGTAACTCCAGATTTAACAAATTTCCATGCTCCTGACTCTGCATGTGATTTGAAGTCCAAAGTTCTGTGGTAGGGACTTGGATTGTTTGGGACTGTGAAACTCTTAGGAGTAAAGCAAGAGAGATGGATAATATGACTTGGCCCATGAAAAGTGAGCAGATTGTCCTTGGACTGGAAATCCATGGTTTGAAATGTGTGATTTTTACTTGTGTGTAATTACTGCCACAAGTAAGGATGTGGCTGTCAATTTTTTTTTAATATAAGATATATATATATTCATGCACATGCAGAAAGAAAGCAGAAATAAAAAGAAATAATACCAATCTATGTTACAAAAGGAACCAACAATTACAAATGGGTCTTTAAAATTCTGCTTTTGAGGAGGGCAATGGAGGCTTTTTAACCGAGTTTGGGTAGGGTGAGCTTTTTCCTTTCTTTGAGGCTTCCTGAGAGCTCCCATCTGAGCCATTCTTTGGGAATACCCACTTTGAGTCTCTGGGCGGATGATCCCAATCTCAGCTGCACCAATCAAGGGAAACCAGAACTTTCCAACGGCTTTCAAGCCATTTCACAACGAAATTTCTGCTTGTCCCAGGTGATTCTCGTTTGGGTGGGATTGTGGCCAGGTGGTGGCTGTGAATCGTTTGCCCAGGGAGGGGTGGAGTTACCATCCCTGGACCTGTTCAGAGTAGGACTGGACGTGCACTCAGTGCCATGGTTTAGTTGGTAAGGAGATGGCAGCTCATGGGTTGGATTTGATGACCTTCAGGGTGTTCTCCAGCCTGGCTCATTGTGATTTGTGTGGATTGAGTGCCATGGTTTAGTGGATGAGGAGCTGGTAGGTTGTAGGTTGGACTGGATGGTTTTCAGAGTGTTCTCCAGCCTGGCTCAGTGGTTTGTGTGCACTCAGTGCCATGGTTTGGTTGATGAGGAGATGGCAGGTCATGGGTAGGACTGGATGATGCTCAGTGGTTTGTGTGCACTCAGTGCCGTGGTTTGGTTGATGAGGAGATGGCAGGTCACAGGTAGGACTGGAGGATGCTCAGGCTGCTCTCCAGCCTGGCTCACTGTGGTCTGTGTGCACTCAGTGCCATGGTTTGGTTGATGAGGATGTGGCAGGTCACAGGTAGGACTGGATGATGCTCAGGTGCTCTCCAGCCTGGCTCACTGTGGTTTGTGTGCTCTCAGTGCCATGGTTTGGTTGATGAGGATGTGGCAGGTCACAGGTTGGACTGGATGATGTTGAGGCTGCTCTCCAGCCTGGCTCCCTGGTTTGTGTGCACTCAGTTTGCCATGGTTTGGTTGATGAGGAGGCGGCAGGTCATGGGTTGGACTGGATGATGCTCAGGTGTTCTCCAGCCTGGCTTCCTGGTTTGTGTGCTCTCAGTGCCATGGTTTGGTTGATGAGGAGATGGCAGGTCACAGGTAGGACTGGATGATGCTCAGGTGCTCTCCAGCCTGGCTCACTGTGGTCTGTGTGCTCTCAGTGCCATGGTTTGGTTGATGAGGAGGTGACAGGTCACAGGTAGGACTGGATGATGCTCAGGTGTTCTCCAGCCTGGCTCAGTGGTTTGTGTGCTCTCAGTGCCATGGTTTGGTTGATGAGGAGGCGGCAGGTCATGGGTAGGACTGGATGATGCTCAGTGGTTTGTGTGCACTCAGTTTGCCATGGTTTGGTTGATGAGGAGGTGGCAGGTCACAGGTAGGACTGGATGATGCTCAGGTGCTCTCCAGCCTGGCTCACTGTGGTCTGTGTGCACTCAGTTTGCCATGGTTTGGTTGATGAGGAGGTGGCAGGTCACAGGTAGGACTGGATGATGCTCAGGTGCTCTCCAGCCTGGCTCCCTGGTTTGTGTGCTCTCAGTGCCATGGTTTGGTTGATGAGGAGGTGGCAGGTCACAGGTAGGACTGGAGGATGCTCAGGCTGCTCTCCAGCCTGGCTCCCTGGTTTGTGTGCACTCAGTTTGCCATGGTTTGGTTGATGAGGAGGCGGCAGGTCACAGGTAGGACTGGAGGATGCTCAGGTGCTCTCCAGCCTGGCTCACTGTGGTCTGTGTGCACTCAGTTTGCCATGGTTTGGTTGATGAGGAGGCGGCAGGTCACAGGTAGGACTGGATGATGCTCAGGTGCTCTCCAGCCTGGCTCACTGTGGTCTGTGTGCACTCAGTGCCATGGTTTGGTTGATGAGGAGGTGGCAGGTCACAGGTAGGACTGGATGATGCTCAGGCTGCTCTCCAGCCTGGCTCACTGTGGTCTGTGTGTGCTCCCCAGGATCCAGCCGGTGCGCTCCGAGCCCGTCAGCATGCCCGGGTCCCCGCGGCCCGCGGCCGACCGGCGCGGCGTCTCCACGGTCATCGATGCTACTTCAGGTAGGAACACCCTCGTTTTCTGCTCCATATCATCAACCTGCTCTTTGGTTTTGGCTGGTAATATGTGTGCTAATTGTTGCCATCAGAGCTGTCCTGATTTTCTGCACCACAGGGTAAGTGCTGTCTCATACAAATACTCAATCCTGCCATAACGATGATTTTTATTTCCCCCTCCTCTTACCACTCAAATGTGAAGTCACAGCATTGTGGTAAGGTCTGGACACGTATTTATGTAAAGTTTAACATGAGCTATAGAATGCTAAAAATTGCCTAAACTAAAAAGCAGAACATTTACAAATACTAACACTGAAATGCTTTTATTAATGAATGCCTAAAGCATAGAATATTACAGGTCCAGCTCGTTTATAAAGTAGCTTTCATTGAAATGTAATCATAAATGTAATTGATTTCTGTGAGCAGTTGGGACAACAGGAGAGTTTATCTATGTTTGTGTTATAGGCACATTTTCACTGCTCTGCTCTGAAAAGAGTGTGTAGATTTAATACTACAGTGGTTGTGTTAATATCAACAGAGTAATAGATGTACTATAAAGTTCTCTTTTCCCCTCAATGCTGGGCAATAGCCTGTCTAAAGAAACAAGGGCAGCAGCAGAGCTTTATGTTGCACTGCAGCTGTGCAGTGTCTGAGGGTCCACACAGCAGGATTTTGTCAAATAAAATCTCTCACAAGTAGAATTATTAAACACATAGCATTAGTCAAACAGTCAAGTCGGAGAGGATTTTAATCTTCAGTGATTGGAAAATCCCTGGAGACTCCTGATTGGATTGAGGTTAAACTGTAAAAAGAGACTGTAGCACATACAGAAAGGGGTTTCTGAAGGTTGGTTTAAAGAGAGTTAAAATAAAAGCTCCTGTTTCAGACTCTGTTTGCTGTTTGATATAAATGCTGAGTCCAAGATACTTCATTGTTTGCCAAATGAATTTATTTGGGTATTACAGGATATTTCATATATGTGTTTATAACAGAGTTCAATAGTAACCACATTTACTTTGGATATTGAGAATTGTCCTTATAAATTCCATTTCAAATATTTAAAAGTTGTTAAATTAATTCCTGTTGGGCTTAGACAAACATCTGGTGTTGGTTATTGAAGGGGAATTTTGTTTGTTTTACTGCATGGCAAAGTAATTTTGAAAATAATTGTTTGATACAGAAGAAAATATTAATGCATCAGTTATGATTTTTTTTTTGCCTAGTTCATCTATGTTTATTGCTTGTAAAAGGTTCCAAGTTGGAATCACAGGAGTGCTTCAGGCTGCATATGTGACACTTGAGATTCAGTGATTAATGGCAGAGCTGTGCCTCACTATCAGCTGATACAGAGGCAGATATCAGCATTATCAGGGTGGGGATTTTTCCCTCCTGTGTAGGAGCAGTGCCTTTACCTGTAGCAGGGATGTGCAGTAATTCTGAAATGTGATCATTCTGTAACTGTGGCCCTTCCTAAAGCTGTGTTACCCCATCTACAGCAGAAACAATGGACACACAGAGCTGTGCCCCCTCCATGCTGAACAACTTCTCCTCAGGTGTGGATGGGGCTTTAATAGGAACTGACTCACGTGAATGTGGTGAAGCCTCATTTGTAATGCCTTTAACATGTGTGTCTATATTAAAATTGCCAAAATCCATTGTATACATTGTTAGGACACTGAGAATATATTTACTGTGCAGCAGTGACTCAGTTTGGTTATAACACTTCATAAGTTTCTTGTAAACAATACATGGCTTTTGTCAGGGACATGCTGATGGCAGAATTTTATTTACTTCATCCAGACAGGTTGGGTTGGAGTTGATTTTTGATTCAGGGATTTTAGCATCTCTTTGCAGGTTTTGTATTGCCTGATCCTCACTCTTTCCCATGCAGAACCTTAGGGGTTCAGTTTCTAAATTGTGTGGTGGTTTAGGGGTGTGAATTGTTGCAGAGTAAAGGAGACACAAGGAAAATACATACACTGTTTTTGAGATTTCAAACTGTTCTTGTAACAGGGCCCAGCAAAGGAAAGAAGAGTATTTCATGCTTATTTTCTTCTCCTCCCACCTCTGAGATGTGCAGAAAACTCCATTAATCTCAGCTGTGGATGGGAAGGGTTTGGTTTTAGCACCACTCATGTACAGCACTGGCTTTTTGTGTTCCAGTCCACCACTTGAAGTGTTCTCATTTCCTGCTCTTCCCACGTTGCTGATGTTCTTTATGGAAAAGACATTTTTAGGTTTGAAGGATTTTTAAGTAGGTCATAAATTTCTGCTGCCTGAGCTGAACCAGGAAGTGATTGTTGAGCTCTGGGCCTGCTCTGGGGCCTGTTGCACTTTATGAAGATGTTATCTGGGGCTTTGATTGCCTGTTGCTTGGAGATGCAACCGTGTGGCGCCTCCGCTTATCTGACTCATCACTTCTCCTTCCTATCAAAGGACTCCAAGTACATGTTTATCATCTCCATTATCCTTCTGCCATCCCCAGCAGCTTCCTTCCCTCTCCCCCTTTGGTGACAATTCTGTTGTTTCATTTATTAAGCAGTTTGTGTGCTTTGTTGTTTTTTTTTAAGCATGTTTTTTTTCCTCGTGTGTCTGTAAAACTGGTGTGCTAAGGACAATCTCATAATTTTCCAATCACTTGGAAAAGTCCTCATTTAAAAAGTGCAAAACTCTAATGCTGTTATCAATAATGAAAATTTACAGTGGCATTCTCAAGGTGGATGGCTGAATCTGTAAAGGTTACTTGGATATATTTTTAACATGTATATTACAGTTTGGTTCTCTCAACTCAAAATTCTCCCAAGACACTCTTATCTGGTTTATTTTTTTCAAGAAAAGTTTTCAAAAATTCAGTCACCTAAAGCAACTGGACACTTGTCCCTCAGTGCACGTATTTGAGTCATATGCATCACAGAGAGAATGTAGCCTCAAGGATGAAATGCACGGTAATTCCAGCTGCTGCTCCAGATTGGCAGCTGGAAATGTTAAAGGGGGACAACAGTGAGTTTAAATCTCTGTAAAGCAGGAAGCCTTTGGTGATAATGCAGCAGCAGAACCACTGCAGAGGCAGGAGCTGCTCCCTGGGAGCAGCAGGCAGAGGGTGTCTGTCTGTCCCTCCTCCCCAGAGCTGTGCTCAGGCTCTGGGCTTGGCTTTGGGTTAAGCCTTAGGAAGTCAGGCTCTATTTATGAGCCCAGAAATGAAAGAGAAACCTTAAAGAGTCCTCCTGTGTGCAGGTGATGCTGCAGCTGAAGGTCACATCCTTACACACCCACACCAACCAGGCACCTCTCTGAATTTCCATTCTGTGCCCTGTGGAGATGATAGACATCATAATGTGTCACATACCTGAAAAACAAACCTGGTGGGGCTCTCTGAATAATGAGAGATGCAGAAATTAGGGGCATGGGCAGGTTAGGATACCTGTGCAGTCAGCTCTGAGCTTCCAGAGCTGGAAAGGCTCCAGGGAAAGGATTTTGCAGCAGTTGCTGCTCAGGGAGTTTGCCCACACAGCTGCACCCAGGGGTGGGCTCAGGTCCTCAGGTGTGCTTAGTGACTCAGGCCTGCTCATTTAAGAGAGAAGTGGCTGCATCTGTGTGTGTGTCTATGGAAAGCCTTGTTTGTTCCCTCACACAAAGAGCTTCTGGACACTTACCCATCAGCCCATTTGGTTGCATTGCTAGTGCAGGATGAGAACATTGACAGAGGAATTGTCTAATCTCTTTTTCTGCATCAACCTCTTCCTTTCCTGCTGGGAGGAGATCACAGAATAGAATCATAAATCTATTTCTTTCTTGCCTAGAATAAATGCAGAAATGGAGTGGGAAGGATTTCAGTGAATGGCATTTTTTAATGAATAAAATTAATTTGTAGAGGAAAAAAAGATCCTGAGGATTCTTTTCCTCCTCATTAATTGTGTGTGGGGTGGGGGGAACCTTAATGTTCTCAACCGAAACCTGGTGAGTGCTGTGCTGCAGGGGGATGCACACATCATTTTTTAATGAAGATTGTTTATTACTGTTGTATGAAACTCTGACAATACTAAGCTCTCTTCTGGTTACTTCAATCAATGCCCACTTAAAATCAGCTTGTAATTTAGTACTTCCCTCTCTTTTGTGTGTGACTGGCTGGTCATGGACAGAGAGTTCTGCCTGCAGAGGGTTTAATGAACAGGAGAATTGACTGGGGCTTTGTGGGGGAGGGAGTTGTCCTTTTATTGCTCATCACCACACCTGGGAGGCACGGACCACGGGACAAATTTTTACTGTCCAGCAATGCTCTCACTTGGAATTTAATAAACACTTATTCTGTCACACCTTAAACCATCTGAGCTCCTTTCTGTTGTATGCACAATCAAATATTTATTCCCAAACGCTGTAGAGCACAAAGTGCTGCCTGGGAGCAGTGCAGATCAGTTATTCAGGTAGTAAAGATGTGTGAATGCAGCTGGCAGATGAAGTCACCACCATTGTGAATTCCCAGGCTGTCCCTGCTGCCACAGGCAATGAATGCCAGGGCTGGGCTCCCCTTGCTGCAGGAGCTCGGGTGTCAGGGCTGCTGAGCTCCCTGCCATGAAATGGATCCGGGCTGCAGTCCTTGACCTGAGCCTGTAATTACCTGCCTGGGATAAAGGTGGTTTGTTGTGGCAGATCGAGATTGCACTCCGGGCTGCAGAGGATAATGCTGAGCTTTGAAGGCAAAGAAGGGGTTTGGCCCCTGGGCTGTTCTTCACAGTAATTGAGAGGTTTTAATAATGGGCAGAGAACAAGCTGCTCTTAGGGGGCATCACCTGTTCAGGAACACAGAAAAACCAACCCAGCACTGCTTGGTTTGTAGTTACTCATCCTGTCAGCCTGAATTTACATGAGTTTAAGTTATGTTTCTTTCCTGGAATAACTTCTGTGCTGATCCTGTTAATGTATCTATTTAAAATGCTTATTATGTTACCTATTTGCATAACATTTTATGCATTATTCCCTGACTAGTGACAGCATGTGGGATATCTCAG